ACTTACACATAACAAGATTAGATGTTAGGCCTACTTTATTTCTGACTGATCGCTACTGGTAGACTGATAAGTATTAGACATTGTGAGTAATTCTCGTCTTTTATATCTCAACCTTGGTGTGTTCCTATTTTCTGCTAAGTAAACTTTATTGGCCCTATTAGTAAAATCTGGTGCATGAGGGAAAAGAGGTAGAGAGTGACTGGTGATGAGAGAGAGACAGAGAGATAGATATTGAGATTTTTCCAGGGTTTCCACTATATTCAATAGTCCAGTTACAGATCTACTAAGGAATGTAGCTCAGTAAAAAAGAGAGTTAATGTTTGGACTGGCTAGCTTTTCTGGGAAGAAAGATTATAAAACAGCATAAATAGCTCTTGCCTTCTATGAAGTTTGAAGAAACTTTCTTTACCTACAAACCTAACTAGTCAGCTATCAGACTGTGGCAAGTCTATTTGCCAAATGTGTACAGCTGGAATTTGCCACTCTTAATCTGTTTGAAGGAAACAAAATGCTTGTTCTTTTTTAAGGGGGAGGATTAAGAGATAACATTTTGACTAAATAAATGGTGATAACCTACTACAAACAATAACAGATAGTAGTTCTGGCTTCTTATCCATATCAGCACTAACTTTCTCATCAAAGCTTAACTGCCACTGGGCCCCAGTGGAGTGGGACCATGTCCCCTTTCAAGAGCAAATGAAGTTATTTCTTTAAATATACGTCAACAAAACATATGCTCATTTACTTGAATATGAGGAAATAGAAATTTCTCTCTTAGATTATGACTGTAAAGGGCAAAACAGTAAGAGAATTCTAGGTTTAACAAAAAAAGGGCATCACAGAGCTCCTGTGGTTGTAAAGACAAATACAAAAAACCTTCAACCCTTGATGAGAGGACATCCCATGGCCCTGGCATTTTGTACTTTATAAGAAGATCAATCATGAAATCACACATTATGGAGAGCCTCAGGTTGGTTCTTCATCTCTATATTCAGTGCTCATAGTTCCTGAGATACTAGCCCTTAGGAGGAAGTATTCAGCATCATTGCATCACTTTTCACAGACACTCTGAGTTCAGGGTGCTACAGGGCACTGAGAAAATTTCCTCTTAGACCAGGGTACATGCTGTCTTCAAACAGCATGAAAATAAGGTGACAGTTCACTTCCGAAGGGTACCTTAACTTGAAGGGATTCTAAGGATTGACCATGAAGAATGGCAGTAGATGGCAGTAAGTCCTCCTGAGCACACAGAGTTAAATGCATTTGACGTATGTGGAACATAGTTTGAAGCAGAATTTTAAGGCTTTTAGTAACAGAAGGATAACAAATGTGCATTCTCTTAGGTAGGGGAAAATATCTTCACGTGATTCATGAGTTTATTTGCTATATTTAAAAACTTATTTTATACTACATGTATGATTTAAATAGGAGCCAAGTGTTTGGGGGAGAGTTCACATTTCACTTGTATATAGACAAATTTCTTCAGGGAAGTGGGAAAGAATAATTCCAGACTTTTAAGTGAAAATTTCAAACTGGTCTCGGAAATTCACTGTCCTGGAGAATACATTATCTTTGAATCATTGCATTAGCAGCTAAACCAGAGAGGTTGGGGATGTGTATTTTGCTTTGTAGTAAGGACAGATATTCAGGAGGAGGAAATGTGAATTCTGAGAAAATGATCATTTTGGAAAGCACATTTCCATCCATGGAAAAATATCACTACCACATGCAATAAGTGACATGGAAGGGAAACATAATTGGAAAAATAATTTCACATCCCATTCAGATTTAAAACAAACAAACAAACCAGAAACAGTTTCATAGTAGACATGAAGGTGACTGTCATCTAACAATACTAAAGTCTTGCAAGGTATTCTCTTTCTTTAGCTGCAATATTAAAATACGTAAAAAAAAGTTTTCTCTTCCTCACCAGAATAAAAGCCATTTACTACCTAGTAGAAAACGTTGTGTAAGTCTCTTCATGTGCCTTTCCTCCAGAAAACAACCAAACAGGAAAAATGAGTACCCAAACATCCCAACTCCCTCCTGCCAAGGTACATCAGAGAAGCCGAAACTGGGATTAAACAGATTTGGGATGGGTTCACTGCAATTTCTTACGCTGGACTCTAAATGACCAACCCATTTCCCAGAGGGCCTGGACCCTGGTCTCTAGACCAGAGGAATCTAGCCCCAGGTTCTTGACAGGGAATTAGGGGGAGCAGTCACCTCGATTCCCTACAATACGTTTCCACCTGGCTCACTTCATCCACCCAGCCACCTGTTACCCTCTCGGGGGCTTTTCCGAGAAAAAGCTATGGAACCAGCCGCTCGCTACAGTAGGGGAAGAACAGGTGGGAGGATCCCCAAGGGATGAGAGCGAGCTTCAGGTCCCCCTTGCTTGTTGGCGCCGCTGTTTACCCGCCAGGCCGCCCTCGGCCCACTTCCCTTTCCTCCCCCAGGGGAGGAGATGGTTAAAGATTACACTGCGGCCGCCGGCACTTCAAAGGGCGGCTCGGGCAGCCAAAGGTAAAGATAACGTTCTGGCAGCTCTAATCGGGGTTTGTGGTTGCCACATTTTAATCACTTAGTTAAAAAAAAAAAAAAAAGAAAGAAAAGAAAAGAAAAAGAGAAGAAAAAGGTTACATCACCCTACTGTGCTAGGGATGCAGAGTGAGTCCCATTGGGGCTGGGGAAACTTTACAGTCTGGCTCTTCGAGACTGGCCCCAGGGAAGAGGCTGGGGCCGGGAGCAGTCCGGCAAGCTGCCCTTGAGTTGTAGGCTCCGGCGCACAGATGCCCACTCTGCACAAAGTGCCTACATTTGGAGGAATTCGCCCTGCTATGTGCCTAGCCGTGGCGCAGCAGCTCCCTTCCGGGATGAGTTGGAAGTGGTTGCTCTGCGGGCCCCGACAGTGCGGGCGCGCTACCCTGAGACATGTGCCTTCTCCCGGCCCGAAACGGGTCCAGCCAGGATGCCCTTGGCAAACTCGCCTGCCCCCTCGAAAGCAGGCGGGCTCTCAGAAGCCCCTAGCCTTAGCTCGGACCTGCTCCCCTCCCCTTTCACCCCCTTCCCGGAGTGAGGTAGGGGTGCACTTACAGGTAGGAGGTGAAGACGCTGAGGTTGGAAGGCAGCTCGGAGAGCCCCAGGTCGGAGCAGTCCACCCTGAGCAACATCCTGCCGTCGGACTCGCACTGACAGTGCGCGGGGCAGCCCCGCGGTAGCGCGCTGGACCTCGGCGAGCCACCCCCGGCCGCCAGCTGCAGCAGCACCGGCAGGGACAGGAGCATGGCCACGCGGGAGGTGTCCATGGTGCCCGAGGCTGGGAACAGCGAGCCAGGAGCCGGCAGAGGGCAGCGCCCGGGCTGTTGCAGAGCGTGGCGCGCCAGGCGTCGTTCCCCGGGCTTCTGCAGCTCGGCGGGCGTCTGCAGCACTGCGCGCCGCGCGCCTGCCCCCCGCCGGGGGCGCGGAGGAGAAGCTCCGGGGGAACTGCGGGGCGCGTTGCTGCCACGCCGGCCTCCGGGGCACCCTTCTCTGCAGCCGCGGCGGCGGCGACGAGCGCAGCTGCTGCAGGCGGTTTGAGCTGTGTGGAGCAGCATCTCCGCTCGCACGCTTGTATTTTAAAAGCGCTCCGGCCCGAATTGCGCGCCCAGTGACGTCAGGGCAGCCCAGCTTTCCAGGCACCCCCACCTCGGCCCCACTTTCGCTCCTCCAGTCCCCACCCTCCTTTCCAGAGACCCGGCTAGAAGGCAGCAGGCAGCGAGAGGTGCAGGGGGCTTCTCCAAGCTCCCACTGAGGCTCCGCGGGGAAGATTCCAGCGCACAGCGCCACGCTCCTGGCGGGGACCCCCTACTCTCACCCTGTCCTGCCTCCTGGTGACCCAGACCCGAGAGGAGAGCTGAGAGGGACCCGCTTCAAGAGCAACCTGGGTAGACCCGGGCTCAGAGAGAGAGGGACGAAGCACACTCCTCCGAGCCCGCTCCAGATACTGCAAAGGTGCATAGAGTGCTAAAAAAAAAAAAAAAAAGAAAGAAAAAGAAAAGAAAAGACTAAAATCTAATCCAGAAAAACAGTGTAAAAAGCAGGTGTTCTTCGAGAAGATAGGTGGCCTTTTTGATCTTACACTGTCTGGGTCTCCGAGCAAGCACTCCAGTGCTGCCTTCCTAACTCCTAGGGGTGAGGAAATAGAAGTGATTTCTTAAAAAAGTGTTAGAATCCTAGGGAAGTCGTCTTTAGTAAAACGAGGCAGGCCAGACAATTGCCTGTTTGGTTATTCGGAGGACTTTTCATTCGAAGTGTCCTAGTATAGTCTCTGAACAAAGAGCAGTCCCAGCCAGGTGAACCTCACCGGGCAGGGCAGCTGGCACCCCTGGGGAGCGCTGGTGGAAAATACACTCCAAAAATTGTTCTACTGTGAATCTGCAGGAGGAAAGGGGGAAAAAATTCAGGGCTTTCTTGGGGAGAATACCTCAGTGAGGTAAAATTTGCCCTCCCCACACCAGAGGGACTCCCGAAAAGAGCTGTCAGCCCAAGCCTGCCACACCAAGTCACAAAAATGCACAATTTTCACTCGGCAGTACAATCTCTCTTTGCTTCGTTAGGGCAGGGGTCATTTTGACTCCCAAGGTCCCCTTTAATCGTCTTCTTAGCCTATCCAGTCAAGTTTCTGCATTTTAAGATGGGAGGATTTTTCTTTGTGTGTGCTGTGTTTATGGAGTAATCTCCAAATCTGCCGATTCCTTTGCCTGTGTGTGTGTGTGTGTGTGTGTGTGTGTGTGTGTGTGTGTTCTAAATCTCTATTCTGAACATGTTCTTCTCTTGGGTGAGTCCAAACAGCAGCAAGTTGTGATTCTCTGAAGTAGAGAGGAAGTGAGGAAATGGGAAAGGATTATAAACTATGCCCTCCTTTTGCAAATAAAGGAACTGTGGCCCATGATGTGGGAAAACTTGACAGTACCACCATATCCACTTCTACCGTTTGCTTATTCTCATATTAGTCATGCTTCTGTTAGCCATTTCTTCCATATTTGTAGAGTGCCTACTAATTGCTTTTCTTCTTTCCATTAAAAAAAATCTTATTTCCTAGACTATTCACTTTGTAAATGGAACTTGGAACTTATCCTGTCTATGATTCTTATTGAACTACAACTGGAATGCCCTGGAGAGGTAAATACATCACCTTATGGGGTTTGACACACTGAACAGGAATCCCAAGGATGATGAATCTCACTGAAGGTATGTTCTAAATACCACACCTTTTGGCCTTGGACTCTTCCTGAACACATACTTGGTTTGTTTTGCTACCATTTGGAGAAAGGAACTAGGCCTCTTAACTCTTTTTTCTGTAGGATTCAAACTATGGACTCATAATAGTGAGTACTTAACAAATATTTGTTGACTGAGTCATTCATCAACATAGGCTTCCAGATATGATTGTGCCCACTGGCCTTCTTTTTTTTGGTACCGGGATCGAACTCAGGTCCTTGCTCAGAAGGCTTTGAAACCACTGAGCTAAATCCCCCCACCCCCCACTGGCCTTTTAAGAACATTGGAAAAGGGGGAAGTGGTGATGTACTCCTATAATGTCACCTACTTGGGAGGCTGAGGCAGGAGGAATGCAAGTTTGGGCCAGCCTGGGCAATTTAGTGAGATCCTATCTCAAAATAAGATAAAAAGTATGGAAGCTCAGAACTCCCTGGGTTCAATCCCCAGTATCACAAAAACAGGCAGACAAAAATAACAACAAAAAAGCATTGAATAACACTCTCTTTGATGTCAGGATTGCTCAAAGGAGCATAATTGTAGAATGAAGGGAGGCAGAAGTGTATCTTGATCTTGGGTCTTCCAGTTTCAGGCTGATCGATTGATCACAGACACAGAGTGAGCCTATCTCAGTCCCAGTTACGCTCTCTGTAAAGGGAGCATTAGTTACCTAGGTTCTTCTAAGTGTCCAAATACCTGGAGCTTGGCCTAGAGCAGAGCAGATTTTTAACCTGGTAGCGTGTTTCCTCTTTTTGTGAAGATTTGAAGCTTATTATCACATGAAAGTAGAGCAGAGAGATTTCTGATTCAATGAAATGGGGGAAGACAGATAAACTGGACAAGGCCAAGGGTAACAAACACTTTTTTTTCTTTTGTACAATCAAAATTTCTCCCCTTTTGTTTTGGTGAGAGCCTTCCACAGTTTTCCTTTGGGAAACTGCCTCTCAAGCCTTGGGCTGTCAATCATGTGGCCCCCACTTGCCTGTCTTGGGGTAAGAATGTGACTTTAACAGAACAGTCTATATTTGTTTGGGGGTTTGTCATGGACCTTGGAGTGATGGGGTAATTTCCTCTGGTTTCATTAGCATTAAGGAAAAATCCTGGGGCTCATGAGGGTGGCTGTTGAGTCTTAGAGAGAAAGTTCATTGGGAATGGAATATTAGCATGAACAAGGACAGAAGCAATGTCCTAACCATCCTCTAGACACTTGGTTCTAAAGCCATTTCTGCTCTGTAACCTCCCAATTGGATGTGCACATGAATTATGTTTTTTTTTTAAATTAATGAGTGAAAATTCATTCATGATCACTTAAAATTGAATATGTTTAGTAAAAATTGGAAAGCACAGAAAGAAGGTTTGAGAAGGGCCTTATGAAACTTCAAGGTCTTGTAGACCTAGTCACAGAAAATCATGTGGATTGAAAATGAGAATGCTATGACTGATGGTGATTTTACTGCCTGAATGGTACATCTCAGCTGCTTACTCTTAGCTTATAAAGACAAAAATATGGCAAACCAGATTTCTTGTATACTAAAAAAGTTTCAGTAAGGCTACTGAGTGATAATCACCCTATTTTGTAGAAAATACCCTCTAATTTATGAGACAGTTTTCAAATGACCTGACAATGACCATCATCACTGACCTAACCTGTATAGTCACATGCTCTCAATGGGTCCTCAGAAGAGGTGGGTAAGATTCTTATTCCACATTTAAGGATGGAAAGTGCAAGTGGGTTTCCTAATGGTGGCGAGCAGGTTACTAATGGAGCCAAAATCCTAACCTAAGTCTTTTGACTCTAATGCTGTTCCCTTTTTCCTAATTTCTTGGGAGTTTTAACCTCATATAGACTTAAATTGGATAGAACCTTGAGTTTACTGTCATTTTATTGAGAACGACATTCACATATATTTGTTAAGAAAAGTGAGGTCTTTTTGAATTGCAATAGAATCAGTTGGAGTACAGAGTGGTGGTTTTTAAATGTGAAATATATATATATAGATATATGAACAATATATATATATGTGAACATATCTATATATATATATGTGAACAATATATATATATGGGAAAAATATGTATGTCAGGTATATATACTGGTGAGATGTCAAAGAAAAACACCACCTCCACTTACATTTAATAATAAGGTTGGTAAAGTGGTTAGTAAAGTTAAATTCATTTAGTATTTATGTTTGATGTTCTTATTTATTATTTTGGATGGAAATCACTCTTTACGTTTTAGGCAGTTAGATTGAAAGTACCTAAAATTGATTTTGTTAAAGTATGGTCTGGTACGTGTCAACTTTCTGGGCTTGCTAAACTCATGTTTTACTAATTCTTTTATCTTTGATAGAAGTCCAAGCTAAAAAAATTTCACATACACCACAAGAATTACTAATAAGCTTAGTTGATGCATGCCAGGATAATTTTAGTTAAAAGGTAAGTCAATATTTCTTTTACAAGCATAGTGCAACGGTGTTTACACAACTGGTGGGCTATTATGGACTTATTTAACTTGTTTGAAGGAATATAGAGCCCATTATTTGCCCTGCTCATTTTACATTCATGATATAATCAGGCTTATGCTGAATTTCTTAACTTCCTTTTACCAACAAAGTATAATTAATTGAGAAGGGAGGAGGAGGATTTAGGAATAAAGATCTCTTTTCTTTCAGAATTATTTATTCTGCGGGAAAGCATTAGTTCAGCTAATTTGTTACTTTGAAATAGTCTATTATGTGAAATCAATTGGATCTGCCTTTGATTTTATCCAACATAAAGATGACCTTTAAATATATCCATGTATTCTAAGGGAAAGGTTAGTGGTATACGATATTATCAATTCTTTAGCTTATTTTGATCTCATTGTCTAATTTCATGTATGATAGTGAGCACACTACTACTGGTATGCAGCTTGTTTCCTAAGAACATATGTCCAATCAAACTCACATATGAAGCCAGGGTCAATTTTTCTTTCCAAACTAAGAATAAAATTAATGAGAAAAATAACAAAAACACTTGAAATCAAGTGATTACCATGCTTATTCACATGCTTTATTTAATTCTACCAAATACTGCTTTAGTATCTAGAGAAACTCTTCCATATATTTTTCTGGTCTTATTAGAATTATACTTTTATAATTCTAGTCATCTACCATGTTTAAATGCTTATGCAGGACTCAGACAAAGCTTAGGTTGTGCTACAAAATGATGAAGTGCTAACAGGTTCCCTTTTACCATGCTTCCCTCCCTGAGTCTTATAGTCAGGGTATACACAGATCTGCAGTGCCTCATTTGCAATTCTGAAATTTTAAGAGCTCTAAAAAGGAGAAGACTTTTAAAAACATATTTGGTGGCACAATTTGAACTGAAATCATGGGAGTCCACTTGTAGTCCTTTAGTATTTTATGAAAAACTCATTCAAATTCTGCAGATATATGGGTGTGTTCAGTTGTAGGGTGTTTGCCCAGATTCCAGGGAAGATTTTATATAACATAGAGAATATTATTATCAATATGTTCTATTTTAAAAAGCCTCTAGCATTCTGCAACATCTGTGATCCTGACAGTTTGGCTAAGGAATTATTGGCCTGCCAATATCAGCAAACTTCGGAATGTCTTTTCAGAAGAAAAAGATGAAAGAAAAAGGGAGTGATTGGAAGAGTTGGAAGTAATATCAACAGCAAAGCTTGGAGCAGAGAAAAGAAGCAAATTTTCAGCTTAGGTGAGATTTGTGGTCATCACTGGACAGGGTACCCTTTGCACAATACACTGCAGATCTTCTCATACTCTTATTCTTGACAAATAATTATGGAAAGGCTGGTAGAAAATATTTTATATGTTAACTCTGGTAAGCATATTTTAGAAAAGAAAAAGGCAGATATGTTGGGCAGAGAATGTGAAATAAGGAAAAGAAATGGAGAAGCTCAGCTAGAAAAACTAATTTGTGGATTTTATTCCACGGAATTGTAAGATTTATATAGTAAAATAAACAAGTACAGAGCATGCTATTCCCCCAAACACTTTATTTTCATAAGTCTAATATATTTTAATTGAGCAGGTAGAGCAGCATTTCCCTGCAATTACAATCTCATAAAGCAGGGCACGATATATTGCACAAACTTTGCAGCTCAAGTGAATGAGTTATAGTGAAACACTGTCCAGATTACGCCAATTAAAGTTTACAGAGTTTTGTTAAGAGTTATAAGGTTTGTGAATTAATAAAGTAAGCTTATTTGTTTTTGTTGTTCTTAGACAAAAAATAACATTTTGATTTTAAATTTCATTGATTGTTTTTCTTTTGTATAGATTTTAGATTGCCACTTGACAGAAAGATATCTCATTGTAGCTTCAAAAAAAAAATCCTAAATACATTTCCTGAGAGATGATGGCTTCTCTCTTCCTACCAACCTTCACTCTCCTTCGTTCACATCACTGTATCTCTATTTTTCTTGCTTGTGTTTTCTCCCTAACTTCCATTCAGAATTGTTGACAGTGGGTAGGAGGCATGAGTGTCACTGACTTAGTCACCTGTTGGGAGAGCCTGGCATAACAGGACATTACAAGTCTTGGATTCTCACAGAACAGGGTTCAAAGCTCTGCCCAGTCATCTACAAGCTATGGGACTTGGAGCAGTTTCTTTCTGAGGCCCAGTTTCTTCATCTGAAAAATAAACATAATTGTGCCAAGTCTGTAGAAATGTTAGTAGAAGGAGAGCTAATATGTTACAGGGCTTCACATGCAGTAAGCACTTAAAATATGTAGAAATAAAAGACTAATTTTTTTTTTTGGTACCGGGGAATTGAACTCCTGTCCTTGTGCTTGTGCTGCAGGAAGCGAAACCGCTGAGCTAAATCTCCAGCCCCCTGGACTTTCAATTTTTACGAGTTTTTCTTCTTAAGGAAGTCTTCAGCTCTATAGGAGGAAATGGGAAGACTAAGAAAGGCAAATAGATCTTGTTTTTATGTTTTTTTTTCTTTTGCTAATGGCATGGGCACTTGGAGCATTTACCATGTTTTCACTTGAAAGCAGAGTGTGCCACAAAAGTGGGGTCCATTTCAGTTGGGAACAGAACATTTACTGGTGAAATGGTCTTAACTGAATTATATTTGCAGGCCTTTGTTTCCAGTTTTAGTAAAGCCTTAAATCCCATTTTAACCAAAATGTATTTATTCAAAGGTAGCTCTTGCCCATCCAATGTGTGATAAATATATATAGAAAGCCTTCTCTTTCAGGTAATTTGACAGAGTTGAGAAGAGACATGAAAAACATAAAATTAAAATGCAATGTAATAACAGGGATGAAAATGCACTGGTATGGTAAAAAGGAAAAAAATTATCTCAGAGAAATACTTCATAGAAAAGATGGTGTTTGGAGTGAGTTCCTGAAAGATCAACAGGAGCCTGTTAAATGAGAAAGAATGGTGTTGGACAGAGAGAAAATGTAATTTTAGACAAAGGTTAGCACAGGCTCAGCTTAGGGTGAATGTGTATGAGGCTTCAGAGACTGGCATAAAGTAAAACTGGAAAGATACACGAATAGAGTGATTGTAAAACAGGCCATTGTATGCACTTTTATTTAGCTTGAATTTGGTCCTGCATACTGGGGGCCAAAACATCTTTAAGCAGGGGAATGGCACAGACATATTTTATCTCTGGGAACTTGATCAGCATGGGAAAAGTATTGGAGAAATCAGAGTTGAGTGGCAGGAGCAGGAATTAGGAATTATTACCAATTTGAGCGTGCACTGATGAGCAAGAGGTGAGAAATACTGCAGTCAGTGCATGGCAGTAGACATGGGAGTAGGTAGCTGTTGCATACTTGAGATATTTCAGGGGAAGAATTGGCAGGATTTGGTGGTCAGGTAGTTGTAATGTCTCTTTTGCCTCTAATCTGGGAGACAGGGCATTTATCATTTACTACACAATAATTAGCATTTTTGAGTCCTTATTTGTGCCAGGTGCTATTGTAAGTGCCTTGAACACATTCTTTAAAAAAAACCTATATATTTCAATAACCCTGTAGGATTGGTACAGTTACCTTCTTTTTATAAAAAAGAAAAATGAAGGTCAGTTATTAAATAACATTCCAAAATTACTCTGAAATAAATGGCATAGTTGATACTGAATCTGTGCTCTCCTTGATTCTAAAGCTGTACTTTTGAGCCCTGGAAAGGGAATGAGCTTTGAACAGAAGAAGATAAATTTAGCTTTGGACATACTGAGTTTAGAGTTGCAAAAATTTTCCAAAATAAAGGGTGCTGACTCTAGCATGTACCCTTGCTGCTTCAAAAAAATTTTTTTTTCTGGTACTGGGGATTGAACTCAGGATTGAACTCTGCACTTGTGAGATAGGCGCGACACCACTGAGCTAAATCCCTGGCCGTTCAAATGTTTCTTAATGTGGATTCTTTGATTTGAGCCAGACATAAATTCTTGATCATAGACTTGATACAGTGCTCTCTGTGTTTGTGTTGCCTGCTCCTCAAGGTAGACCAGATGTTGGGCTTTAAAAATATGAAATTAAAGAGCTATGTCAGTACTTAAACCACTTTTGATGGCAAATATTTTTGGCCAGTGATTTTTAAGTTTCTTTATTCTACTTAAACCTTTCCAGGTCACATTGTGACCAAAATTTGATGCATTTTGAAAGCAGAATTATCTTTCCCCCTATTTTCTTTCTTTCTTTCTTTCTTTCTTTCTTTCTTTCTTTCTTTCTTTCTGGTACTGGGGATCGAACTCAGGACCTTGAGCTTGCCAGGCAGGTGCAGTACCACTGAGCTACATCCCTGGCCCCTTTCTCTATTTTCTCTGATACTGAGAGCCATATATTACTCTGGAAATTAAATATGCTTTCTTTTATATAGTACCTTTTGCATAATCTGTCTTGTATCATCAGATCATAATATAGTTTCTGAAGTTCTATTAATCCTTATATGACTTGTCAGTAACAAGAATACAAGCTACCTAATTGTAAAGACATTGGAAGATAAACAAATATGAAAACATACCCAGTTCTTCCACCTAATAATAATTGCTAGTAATATTTTCTACTTCCTTTCAGCCTTTTCAGTGTTCATATATTTTTACCTGTGATAATTTTGTACTTATAATGGGGAAATGTTTCTCTTATCATGTAAAGATGAGTATTTATGTCATTTTTCCCATTGTGCAGATGAGGACATTGAGGTTCAGGGAATTTGAAAGACTTTCTTAAGTATGTACTAAATGTGACTCTGTCCTATGCATTATGTGGTCTTGCAATCTGGCGAGGACAATTTAATGTTTAGACAAATAACCATGTTAGATGGTAGCATATGAGAAATTCATGAGAAGTTCAAAGGGCTTTAAGACTTTGGAGGCAAGAAGGAATACAACCTGCTGGTAGAATCAAAGAAAGTTTTAGGGAAGAGGAGTTGTCTGAGATGGGTCTTAAATGATGGCGAGCAATTTGACATTAGAAAAAGATATTTAGGAGCAGGAGACATGATAATGGCGGAAAGAGAACCTATTAGTGAAGCTGTAATTAATCTAGTTTGGTTAACGTTTGGGCTTTTAAAAGTTCTACTAAAGGACAAAGCCATAAAGTTAAAGGTTGGGAGAGGGTTGAACGGAAATTCAGATGCTTTGTAGATAAATGAGTAGGAAAGAGTTGAATCAGAATTAAGCCTTAGAAGGGTGACGGTAACAGTGGGGCTTGGGACTGATTAAAGGAAGAAAGTGACAGACCATTGATTCAGGATATGCTTATTGATTTGGTACATATTATGTTCTGGCTACATAAAGAATATAGCAGATAAAGTTTCCAAGTGGGCTGGTTGGGAGAAAAGCAGTGTAATTTAAAAATGAATAGATTTGGTGAAGAATAGAGATTTGAGCATGCTGAACTTGAGCAGCCCGGACTCAGTTGTGTATTCAGGCTGGTGCTTCAGAGAGAGGACAGGGAATTCTGGTTGTGGTTATCCTGATATTGACAAATGATGGAAAATAATGTGGGAATTAAATTGTGGAGGAAGAGGTTGTAGATAAATATGGAACATTTCTTAACCACTACACATCAGGTACTATGCAAAGCACTTCCTAGGTATTATTTCATTTAATCTTCACAACAATGTCATAAAGTAGGTGCTATTAATTATCTCCATTACATAGATTACCCATTTTATGGTGGAGGAAAAATGAGGCCCTAGATCACAACCAGAAAGTTTTAAACCTGGGATTTGACGTCAAGCAGGCTGACATTAAATCATGTGTCAATCTATTTTATGCAGCTTCCCAGGCAGAAGAGTGAGAGAAGACAAACTGGGAGATATACGAACACTTTGGGGAGAGATCAGAAAGAGACATGAGCAGGACTAATGAAGAAGAGTGAGAAAAGGACATTAGAAAGAAGCCCAAAGATGAGTAAGCCTGGGCTCAAGTGGTACAAGCATTTCATCAGATAAGCTATACATCACTCTTATTTTGAATCCCAGTGTTTAACAATATAGTATCAAATTAAACACTTGCCTGAAATAATGATTACAAATGACTTTTAATTATTATCCTCTTAATGCAATTTAATAATTTACTGATGACTACTACAGATTTAAAATATGCTAGACATAGATATTGAAAAAGGGACATTTATTTTACTCATTGCCTAAATATTGATTGAGAATTTACTCTGGGCTAGGCACTGTGTTTGGCAGTAAGAATATACTGATGAGTAAAACAGAAGGTCCAGGACCTCTTGGAATCTGTGATTTAGTGGGAGTGGTAGACGGACACACACACACACACACACACACACACACACACACACATGTTTACAAACTGTGCTGATTTTCAAGAATGATCTGTTTTGGAAGCATGATTTACCAATGAGGAAATAAAGTAGAATGAATATCATACAAAAATGAGCTACATTTCTTAGATGGATTTGTGTACTTTTTATTAATTTGTTTAATAAACCTTTTCATAGGTAGGTGAAATAAAATTATTGCAAGTACTAATAAAATTATTATCTTTTATTAGTGGTATGCAGTTCTACTTTTCGTCACTTTTTTTCTGTAGGCATTATTCTCTTTTTTTAGTTTTTCTCTGTCTGTGAGGTTGCACTGTTGTGGTGGCAGTTTGTTCTTTGCTGGTTCATCCTAGTGGCAAGCTGACACAAAAAGAGATCAGAGAATCATATTAATAAATGGGAGTGAGGCCGAGTTTTTCACCTCAATTTCAAGGCATCTTGAGTATTGCGGAAGGCATGTGTGTGTATGTTGCCTCCAGTATAGAGAGACAGGTGGCTATATTAAGTGACTAAATTTTCTTACATGTTTATTAAATTGAAGTCTTTTAAGAGCAAAATCAATATTTTCTATGGAGTGTTATAAAATCTCTTGAGTGGCCGCTCCAGTGCCAAGTCCTTGTGGACATTCAATTGTCAACAGCTCTAACATTGACTTCTAATGTTGGTTTATATTGTTGATATATCTATGCATGAAATATCAAAAGAGGTTGTATTGTTCCATGAAATTCAAGATGTTTGACAACGTGCTTTTCATTTTATTCTCAAGTGCTAATGCTTTCAACCTTCACACAGAGAGCCTGTGCTTGTAGCTTAGGACAGAACATGTGGCAAGACTCAGGCAAGCCTTCTCTGGAGGAACAAACAGTTGTGTAAGTGATACGGAAGGAAAAGGCAGATATCACTGTCATTCGAACTGGAGAAAAATACAGAAGAAGGGAGCACTTTGAAAAGAAAAAAACCCAAACAAATTAGTTTATTATAATGTACAAATGCAAAATACATATAACACAATTTCTAAAATTAATTTGTCTTTCCTTAGAAACCACAGAGAGAGGCAGCTTTTTTTATTTAAAGGATTTAAAATGTAAAATTTTTGTTTATTTCACATACTGCAAATAAGACAAAGAAAATAACAACAAAAAATGTCAGTAGTGGAAGAACATATATATATATTTTTTTTGGGGGGGGTACTGGGGATTGAACTCAGGACCTTGTGCTTTCAAGGCAGGTGGCAGAACCATTGAGCTAAATCCCCAGCCCAATAGTGGAAGAATATTAAAAGAAATAATTCCTTAGGTGGTTGATTTCGAATGCGAAAGAAAGAATATTGCTAAAGGTTAAACTCTAGTGTGATATATAAACTAAGCTTAATGAGGCACTGTAAAAGGAATGTGTTTGTCTAGCAGGTTGTGTGCACGCGTGCCTGTGTGTGTGTGTAACACATATACTGTTGTATGCTACAGAAACAACCATTATGTGTGCTATAATAGATTTTGTTTCATAAGCACATTTTTAAAATTTAAAGTTGCTCCACTTAAGTGCCAGCAGCCTTAGGGCTTTCATTATGCTTAACAGGTTAATTAACATCTATTCTTGGCCTATGAAAACTATTCCTTCGTCATTTTCAGTTACTTGACAAATAATTATTGAATATCCACTAAGACAAGACTTCGTTCTTGGTTCTGGAGGCACAGCAGGCTAGCATAACAGGCAACAATCCCTGCTCATCATGTTTCAAGAGAGTTTACATTCAAGAGAGGCAGGTAATTAAAAAATAGACAACCAAAATAAGAAGACTACCAGGGATTATTAGGTGAAAAGCAAAGCAAAAGCAAAGCAAAGCAAAGAAAAAAAAGAAAAGAATAGGGGCAGGCAGGTTGGGAATGTGAGGCAGGGAGACTGAATTACAATTATAACTGGAGTGGCCAAGAAAAAGCTCATGGAGGGAAGGTGACATCTGAGCAAAAGAGTAGGAGGGCTCCATCCTACCAGGCATGCCTTGGGAGGAGTTGTCATGCAGAAGAAACAGTAAATACCAAGGCCCGGAAGCAACCAGGAGCAGTCTTGCTCTGTATGATGAAAAGCAGAGTCCAGTGTGGCTGGTGTACATAGAGTGGGGGAGGGGAAGGCAGAATGGTCTCTACTGGCCATTGTAAGGTCTCCAGGTCTTACTTAGAGTGAGATGGAGAGCCAGTGGTGGAGAGCTTGAGCAGAGGAATGACTTGATGTGATTTACATACAAAAGAAAGACCCTTTTGGGTCGGGAATGCGTGAACTATGAAGAGAGGTAAAGAAAAAGACAAAGCTGTTGTAATCCAACTGATGTCTTGAGCCAGGGTGGTAGCAGTGGAAGTGGCAACAAGTAATTGCATTAAGGGTTGGAGTCTGGATATTTTCTGAAAAGAGAGCTGACAGAATTTGCTGATGGATTGGATATGGGATTTGTGAGACAGAGGAATCAAGGAAGAATTTAAGGTTTCTGGCCTGAGCAACTGAAAGGATGAGTTTGCCATGAATTAGATGGGGAAGATTGTGGGAAGAAAAGGTTTGGTGTGGAGTGGGGAAGAAGGTTGGGATTGAACATATTGATTTTAAGACCATATCAAATGTCTACATGGAAACCTTGGATAGTTGAGTTGATGTGTCTGGCATTCAGAGGAGAACTCCAGGCTGAAAATTAAAACTTGATCATTGTCAGAAGGTAGATTGTATTAAAAGCCACAAGACATTTGAGATCACTATAGGCATGAGTGCATATAGAAAAGGGAAGATATCCAAGGCCTGAGTGTGAAACACTCTGAAGGCCACCTTTAAAAAGGACAACTGTGAAGGGTGTACACTGAAGTGTTATCAGCAAAGATTAGGAAGCAGTGGCCAGTGAGGGAGGAGAAAAATTAAGAGAAAGCAATGTATGGAAGCCATGGTATGAAACTATTTCAAGTGGGAAGGAGGACTCAATAGCAAAAATTTTTCCTAATAGATTCAAGATGAAGAGGCACTGTCTGTGGGGTTTAGCATTGTTCAAATAGCTAACAACCCTTCACATGAGACATTTTGATAGAGCTAGGGTCTAGTAGAAGTAGTAGTGGAAATAGGGGTTAGGGTCTTATACAGTTAGACGTAAAGGTAAATAGGAGAGGATTCATTTAATCTGTTTGAAAATATGTGAGATAAAAAGATATTTTCTAAGCAAAAGATCTAAAACATATTTTAGGCATTTAGACAAAAACAATGACAATGACTGACAGTTATTCAATACCTATTTGTGCAGGCACTGTGTCAAAGTGCTTTATATGTACAATTTTATCTGACTCTTCTATAAGAATATGAATTATTGTTAAATTATTTCCATTTTATATGTAAAGAAATTGGAATTTGCATACTTTAAGGGGCTTTTCTAAAATGACATAATAAGTAAGTGGTAGAGCTGGGGTGTTGGGAACATTTTTGTAAAACTTGAGCTAGACAATTATTATGTTTACAAGGTATATTGTTTGGTTTTTTTTGTTAAATAGTCTTATTCTTTAGAAATTAAATTGGTTTTTTTGTTCATTTCATGTATATTTATTTTCCCAACATCTAGCACTTTAAAAAATATCAAAATGTACTGATCGGGTTCTCTAGTAGTTTTTGGTACTTTTCTTTCTTCTTCTTTTTTTTTTTTATGCAAAGAACTATCCAAAATACTTCCATTACTGGGATAGATTAACATGCTCAATTACATTAAAGTGTTGTTAAAGAGAATGTAATTTTTTGAATAATTCCTATTTTTAATAGAGGCTTATTTGGAGGAACTCAACTACATTTTGGAAGTGCAGTGCTTAATTAATGGTATTAAAAAGTGATTCTTCACATAACATATTCATTTCATGTTCACAACATCTCTGTGAGGTGGATAATATTGTTATACATTTTACATATGGAGAACTAGAGGGTAGAGAAGTTGAGTAAATTGCTCAAAATCACAGAACTTGTAAGTAGTTGAGTAAGAATTGACCCCATGTCCTTTGAAATTACATTCCATACTCTTTCCACTACAACATGCATGTAAATTCAGTTAATTCCAAAGCTCAGCTTGAAATATTATATCTTTACTTGCCTGTGTAAAATTGATTCCTCTCATTTGATGCACCATTATAACTCTAGCAGCTGGTGCCACAGGGGCCAGTGGTTTAGGAAGCATGTATACATTTTTAATTAGACATGTGTTCTCTGGGAAGTATGTGAAAGAGTTGATTTTTTTCTTTATTAGGATTGTTCTCCCATAACACGAGAGAGGAAAAAACCAGAATTGCTGTTTGCCTGCCTGTGCTTTGCATAGTTGCTAACCCTTTTTGAGGCTGTAGCTAAGATTGATATGTTGATAGGGATCTGGGGTGAACACAGATTGTGAGGTGGAGTTTGGAGCATGCCATGAATGGGCTGGGAGATGTCATTATTTTTCTAGAATGAATTCTTAAACTTTCCATTGCCCTTGAATCTCACATTCCATTCACAGCAAACTTGTTCCTTTGTACCAGCATGCCATTCCTGCTTTCTACTTTTGAGTTTCAAGCTTCTACTCTATGACCAGAATGGATTATTACAAATGCAACTCTGATAACCCAATCATATGCCTAAAATTCTTCCCTATTGCATTTAAGACAAAATACCAACCCTTTACACAGCCTCCAGTGATGTACATGCTTTGGCTCCTTCCCTATTCTCCAGCCTCCACCAGTGCCTTTTTCAGTTATGCTATAGCTTCTGGAACTTTACAACCCCTCCAAGGCTTTTTCTTCCTTGGGGCTCACATAATACTATTTCCTCTGTCTAGAACATTCTTTCCTCCATTTTGGTATAGGTTCTCAAAGACTTTCCTGACCATCCAATTTAAATCAGGCCCCTCTCTTACAATTTCTCTTTTTCTTCAATATATTTATTACAATTTGGAATGTTATTTTATTTGCATATTTATTTTATACCACCCTCCCCATGAATGTAAGCTACACGAGGATAATTTCTAGATCTGCTTTTTTCCACCTATGCCTGACATATAATAGATGTTAAATAACATTTCTTGAATAAATGAATACCCCTTTACAAGCTGTTTTCTCAG